CAGAGGACAGCCACCGGCTTTGTGACATGCCCTCCATCAGCACGGGGCTTCCCTGGCCCTGACTCGGGTGGGGGCAGCCCCAGGACTGAGCATCACTACAGGCTTGGCCACAACCGGGGAGAGCCCAGGCGAGGGCAGGGCCTGAGGGAGGCACCGCTCTGCCTGGACACCCGCAGAGGCGAGAGCCCCCCTCGCTCCTCCCAGCCGAGCTGCCGGTTCGGCTCCTGCCAGCGCAGCCCCAAGCCGGCTCAGCACCTCTCCCAACACCTCCCGCTGCCTGGGACGCCCAGCTCAACAGCGAGATCAGCAGCGGGATTACGGCTCTCCTCCAAGATCCCCAATCTAATTAAGTCTGCCTCATCTCTAATGGGATTATCATCCTGTAAGCCAGGCACGGGCACGGGCAAGGCTCATGCTGCTCTGCTGGGCGCCGAGTGGGGTGAAGGGCTTGTCAGATGCTGGCACAGCTTCTCTGGTAGCCAGCTGGGTAGAGCTGGGCTTTGGGCTCACAGAGGCAGCTCAGACCCAGGTGGGCGGGCCCCACAAAACACCCTTGGCTGTGGGGCAAGTGGGTTTCATGGGAGGTGCTGACAGGACTCAGCAGCAAGACCACAGCAAAGTGAGAGTCCCGTGGCAACCCTGTCCTGGCTCTGGCCTCCAGGAGCTACCCAGGCTGGAGAGAGGGGGCTTCTGTGGGCAACGGGGATTTGTCATCTGCTCTTAGGGCCCAGGCCTCCTGCAAACAGATCTGGGGCAGGTCATGGCAGGCAGGACCAAACTTCTCTTCAAAGAGGGGTGAGAATGGAGCACCCGGGACTCCCCCCTGAGACCCAGACCCTTCCAGGAGCACCACAGCTCTTCTGGGGCTGGATAGCAAACTCCAGTCAATCCTCGGGGCAAAGCAGTGGAGTGCTGGCCCCATACCCCCCCAATCCTGCTTATTACCACTGGGCCAGAGCAAGGGGCTGAGCTCTCACCTGAAAGACATCTCCATTGACAGTGGCTCCTCCATTCTGGAAACCAGCTAAAGAAAAAGGAAGAAAAATAGAGAAACACAACTATGGCAGCTGCAGGTGATCCCAGGGGGAGCTGGTGTTCATGAAAAAAGAAGCAAGTCACTTTGTGGGGGATGCGGTCTCCTGTCCTTGGTGGAATTCAGCCAGCACCTCTCTTCTCTCCCAGAGAAAAGCCTCTCTGGGCTTTATGTCTTTACGGTGTTTTCACTGGTTTTTTATCTTATCTGGAGATTAGGGAAACTGTTCCAGGCATAAGGCTGGACACAGGCAGGTGCTCTGACTGTAGTGAGACAACCTGACCAACCCAAACCCACAGGCAGCCAGGCATCAGAGCCTGCCAATGGACACAGGTAACCCAGAAGCTGTCAGCCGAGTGCCCAGCAGTGCAGGCCTGCAACAGGAATGCATCTCTGCCAGGGACAGAGCCCACAGAAACACTGCAGTCTGCTCCAGCAGGAGAGGAGGGCAGGCATGCACGCCGAGGTCCTCGAGAGCCCACCTGGGATGAGCTGCAAGCTTAGGACTGGGAATGAGGGACCACTGACACCCACAGCTGGACTGCAGCCCCATTTCCCCCCCAGCCCCAGAGAACACTGAGAGCTGCGCAGCAGGACCACAAGGCCAGCCCCGTGCGGGGCTCTCCATTCTGGGAGAGAAGAGGCTTTGAAGGAGGCAGACTCCAGGCCCTGAGCTCTCCTCACTGACAACCGCAGGGCTTCTACCAGCTGGCTAGCTGCAGGCACAGCCACAGCGCAGGTCAGGCAAGCACCATTCCCACCGTGCTCACCCCCACGGTGCAGCTCTAGCCAGCTCCAGCCTGTCTGACTGCATTTATCACCGCAGCTGTCAACACCTCTCCGGGCTCAGGTCTGCCCCCGCAGCCCTGTGTGCGGGGAGGTGAAACCACCCACTGCTCCAGAGCCAGAACAAGGAGGCTCCATGGGCCTGGGATAGGGGAAGGAGCCAGAGTACTGTGGCAGCAGCATCCTGTATCCATGTGGAGAACAGCCCTAAGAGACCTTCCACCTGCAGGGCCAGGGACCACAATGTCCCCAATGGAAATGCCTTCCATTTTGCACCCCAAAGGGCTCTCCTGTCTGTGGGGACAGTGACATGGCTGTCACTGTTCCTCAGCTTCCCCTGGATGCCTCTCACACTGCCCTAGCTGGGGGCACTGGGACATGGAGACGGGGATCCATTCAAGCCAGGGAACCCAGGTGGAGCACATGAGGGAGAAATCGCCCCACGGATGGCAAGTTCCAGCTCAGGATTCACCCCACATCCTGAGGCTTGAGAGGGAACCCCAACATCAGCCCTTTGGGACCAAGCACAGGCCCTGGATAGTCCTTGCTGGGATGACAGCCTGGTCCACTGGGGAACCCTGTCACCTACTGGGGGTGCAGCATGGATCCGGCACGGGGGGGACCCATCACCCACCGGGGGTGCGGTGCATCCCACGGGGGGTGCAGCCCTCCCTGCCCGCGGGGACAGAGGCGGCACGGTCCTCCCTACCCCCACGGGGGTG